TGGCACACAGTGAGTGTTTAAACGAAGGCACCCCTCCTTTTGAAAACAGAAAATAAAAAAGAGAAAGACGACAACAACAAACATAGAACAAAATAATGGTCTGACCGTAGCACCTGTGTATTTGTGTTCAGCTCCTCTGATAACATGGAAGTAGAAATAACTCCAGACATAGCACCTCTTTTTCTGGTTCCAGCACAGAACATTTTAGAAACATGCACATCCCATCGCCCTCCAGGACTCTACTGACAACACGTGGCATAATCACAGACAGATTTAATGCAAACGCTTGAAGGACACTACGGGTGATGACGTCTTGAACAGGAGTTCATTACAGTACTGGTGGGTTTGGTGATGTGGGAGTGTTTGGGTGTCATTTATGGGATATTCACACACGCTAGTGCACTGGAGCAAAAGTCTGTCTGTCTGTCCATATAGCACCATTACGACTCCAACCTCCATTTATAAGCTACACTCCCTCCTCCTCTCCCCCTCTCCTCCCTTCCAGTGGCTACTCCCTCCATCCCTGCGGTGCTTCCGCTCTATGTGTGATGTGTCCAGCACTTTGGATTAAAAAACAACAACAACAATAAAACAACAACAACAATCGGATGACAATAAAATAATAAAAATAATATTAATTATTATTATTATAATAAAAATAACATCAGTAACAATAATCCTCTAAAGTTCCCACTTCACAGAAGTGACAGTAATAAACGTCTGTGTCAGCGTGTCCGCTGAGCAGTGGTTAGGTTTCCACGGTGATGATGGGGTTTGGGGGGAGGGGTTTGAGGGGGTAGTAGGTGTGATAAACGGGTAAACCCCTCTTTTCTTTTCGTCTCTCGTCCCAGTGTCTCCTAATCCTCTTTCCTCCGTCTCTCCTACTGGTCTTGAATTTTTTCCCCTCTTCCCTCTCTCTTTCCCCTCCAGCTCCTTCTCTTCCTCGCTTTCTTTCTCTCCTTCTCTCTCTCAGTGGGTCAGCGTCCTTGGCACGTCTTGCAGCACATCTGTCTGAAGTACGCGCGGCCACAGAACTTGAACTTCAGCACCAGTGGGCAATATGCCACTTTGTTTACATCTTTACATTCTGGAGAGAAAAATACAAAAGTTTGAAGATAAAGGAAAGAAGAAGACCAAGAGGAATGACAATGTCTATGAACCACCTGTGTGTGTGTGTGTGTGTGTGTGTGTGTGTGTGTGTGTGTGTGTGTGCGTGTGTGTGTGTGTGTGTGTTTGCGTGTGTGTGCGTGTATGTGTGCAGGATGTTGTAATATTGCTGTTCTATTCAAATTAATTAAATGCATTCCAGACCAGTTTCTAACCTCAGACAGGTGCACCGGCACCGGTCCCAGAGATAGTTGTCTGACACCTATTTAGTCAGGTCTTAGCTGTTAGATTTAATATAAGCGGTCCTCCGAGCCTGTCCCTGGTACAAATAAGGTTGAGAAACACTGTGCACTATTCCAAGTTTCGCTTGTCTTTGACAAACAACCGGCCCTAATAAATCTCCCCTCCGTGTCGCTGTGTAATGGTATGTTTCAGCTGATGGATGGCCTGCTGTAACGTTCCCGCCTTTCTCTCACTATCTCTCCCTCCCTCTCTGTGTGCTATATGATTAAGTAAGGAGAACATACCATACCAAAGGAATGTCTAGAACTATCTCACGTCACATGAGCGGTGCGCACTTTTCTGTTAATCACTTTGGCCCTGTCTTCTGAAAAGGACTATTATTTGTGCTTTCTAAGCACTTACTCTTACTGGTATGTGAAAGATCAGCTTCTTTCTCTTCTTTCTTACATTGTATGTATCAATCCAGGTTGGTCTCATTGAGGTCAAACTTATTTTGTAAAAGAGACCTGGTTCTTATGCCTTTTTACAGATGAATAATCATAAGCAAACATTACTGTCTGTCTTGAGTGTTGGCCTGTAATAGTAGTCAGAGGCTAGTCCAGATCAATCTCTCTCTCAACCCTTCACAATGTAATAACACCATCTAACACACATCCCACAGACACACATTACACCATCTACACTGAGACAGATGCTGGCCTGATTCACCGACCGGGCTGTCTGCCACACACACGCGCAACCTCCCCCTCACCACCACCACCACCACCACCACAGACATAGTTAGGTGGACGAACAGGGCAGAGCAGAGCCTCTAAATGCCTTATCAGGCTGTGGCCTGGGAGGGAGAGAGGGAGACATGCTCTCCCTGCTGTTCGCCTGTCTGTCTGTCTGTCTGTATGGGACAATTAGCCTGAAGCTAATCCCATTAGCCATTAGCGTCTCCACACACTCTGCTCTGCTCAGCGTTTCCATTCAGCCCCATCGACGTGTGGGCTGGGCCTGTCCCTATGCATCCTAACACACATCCATCATAGCAGGGAGAGGATGGTCCAGACTGCTCTGACCCGCAGCCAGCTCAATCTCACTGGAAAGATGAATGCGGTGTGTTCTGTAAGAGTTGTGTCACCCCACCGTGTTTAGGTCATACGGCTGAATGGAACTAGGATGGAGCTCTTGTAAAGGGGTGGCTGGATTGGTGGGTGAGGGTTCTGTGTGTATGTGTATATGTGTGAGTGCGCGTGTGTGTGTTCTGTACTCACCGTCACCGTTGGCGATGGGCACGGCGTCACACTTGCTCTCACACTGCTGCATGGCGGTGGGTCTGAGGCCCTCGGTACACTCACTGGAGGGCTTGCCCGTGTAGGAGAGACACTGCACCGTCCGCATCTGCTGGCCCAGCCCACACTGCGCTGAACACTGTTGTGAAACACACACACACACAGACATTATTAACCACACTGCACCAAACAATGAAACACATAGATATTATTAACCACACTGCACCAAACACTGAAACACATAGACATTATTAATCACACTGCACCAAACACTGAAACACATAGACATTATTAACCACACTGCACCAAACACTGAAACACATAGACATTATTAATCACACTGCACCAAACACTGAAACACATAGACATTATTAACCACACTGCACCAAACACTGAAACACATAGATATTATTAACCACACTGCACCAAACACTGAAACACATAGACATTATTAACCACACTGCACCAAACACTGAAACACATAGACATTATTAAGCACACTGCACCAAACACTGAAACACATAGACATTATTAACCACACTGCACCAAACACTGAAACACATAGACATTATTAATCACACTGCACCAAACACTGAAACACATAGACATTATTAACCACACTGCACCAAACACTGAAACACATACATTATTAACCACATACTGCGGTCAAAAGACACATACAGAGTTATTAACCCTCAATACAGCCACACTGTTAAAACTCATACCCATGTGTTATAACCTATAGTAATTGAGTCATTTACACAGTCAAACAGCACTTTACTGCTGGCTGGCAGTGTAATGTTGATGACATTTAATGAAAATGGGGCGGCAGGTAGCCTAGCGGTTAGAGCTTTGGGCCAGTAACCAAAAGGTTACCTCTATGGGCCAAGCCAAGCTTAGCTTAGCCTGAGTGTGCAGATTCTCACTGCGCCCTGTGTTGCCTTCCCAGCAGACACTCAACGAGTCTGACTAATCACTACGGACATAATAGCTCATCCTATTAAGTCACCGTTAAGAGGAAGGAGAGAGAAAGAGAGCGAGCAAGCTGAGAAACCAAGGTAAGTAGAATGGCCTTCATGAACTGTTGAAGTGACTGAGTCTGACCACACACAAACATACAGTACATGGACATACATAGAACTAGAATGAACATTCTACATGCACAGACGATTATGGGAGGAATGTGATAGTAATGATTTAATGGGCATCAGTCAGACTGCAGTCAGCTGGTCTACATTAGAACAGAGAGATGGTATCTATCCGCTCTAGACACAAGAGACATGCAGGTAGTTGCATCAACTAGAAAAGTCTAGTTAACTACATCAGCCAGGGTTATCAGTCCAACCCAACAGTTCTCCTATCAATGTTATTATCTGTACTGTAGTAGTTCTCTTAGTTGTCTGTATCATAGTAAAGAAAGTATTTCTGGTCAGGTTCTGTAGTAGAAGGCTTCCAGATACTTCTAGATATACCTGGATGTTATTTAGGGACCTAACCAGGTTGTGGTGGGATTGCAGTGGTGGACTTTGTTGTGGTAGTAAAGGAACTGTGGGGGGTTAGAGGTCAGAGTCCAGAGGTTAGAGGTCATGGGGTCTGGTCCCAGGTTCTCATAACAACAACAACCGGTGCTCTCACTTCAATCAGATGGCAGTAAGCCGTATAAGCAGCTGGTTGATAACCTCTCTGTGGCCCATCAAACGACAGGGTTTGATGGGTCTAATATATACCAGTAACACCACAGCTTTGTCTGTTTAGACCAAGGACTTTCTCACGCACTGGCCAAGGTGAGGTGTATCTACCTCTCTCCCATTCCTCTCTCCCGCCTCTCTTTCCCTCTCCCTCCCCCTCTATAATTACGGCCTTCACCCTCTCCTCTCCTCCTGTCTCTCACCCCTGTCTCTCCTCTCCCTGAGCCGTAAAAAGGGCAGCTTGTTGTGAAGGTAGTGCTTCGCTCCCCGGCCTCGCTGCCAGAGGCCAAAAGGTCACTGGTTCAAATCCCACTTAAGACCCTCCATTGACGTGAGCCATCTGTCAGGGCTGGCCTGGGCCATAATAAAGGCAGTCTAATTGGGAGGGGATGACATGCAGGCTGGGATGTGAGGCTCCACAGAGCCTGATCTGAAGGGAGGGTAAGCCTGGTGGCCCGGTGGGCACAGGGGCTAGATACGTGTTGATGGGATGGTTGAGATCTGACTGGGGCCGCAGCACACAATCACACACACACACATGCATGCACGCAAACACAGGCAAGCAGACAGGTTGGACAGGCACACATGACCAGCGCTCTAGGGACCCCAGTTTATGATCAAAGCATAAATTCTGTTGATTGTTCACCAAAACAGGGGATTTGATGTCTGTTCTTCTTGGAATAGCTTAGTTTACCTGCCTTTGGTACAAACATGTTGTGTTTTGACATTCCCATGTCAAGACATATTGAAGCAATGAAAAGTGAATGGAAAAGTGAAAGGAAGCAATGATTTCTGAAGGGGGAACCAATCTTACCTGTCCCCATTCCCCTGGGATCCATCTAGGTGGCGGACAGCGTCCCAGACTGCAGCGGATCCTGACGGGGGGCTTATTGTGGGGGGGACAGTGGGCTGGGGGGAAAGTCTTGGTCAGGTCGTTGCTCTTACACAGCACGATGCGGTGCTTGAACCCAGGGCCACATTTGGGCGTACACTTGGGGCAGAAGGAAGAACAGAAAAGCTCAATAAAACTATTAAACTTTGAATGTTTTCTACAGTAAATATTCTAGTTCTCTATTACAACTACTGCTGTCACGCAAAGCAATCCCAGTGGACAAAACTGATTAAAATGACCAGTTTTTCCCGCTGGGATGTAAAAAGGGGCGGTCCTTCTCCTACCTCTGACCAATCCAGAGTGACCCACCGAGGGGGACAGGACTGGTTATTGCAGGCCTCTCGTTCTATAGGTCGGTGCGTCAGACAGTGGCTGTCCTCCAGGGTCTCCTCCTCAGCAGGCCCCATCTTCCTGATACACAGAACCGTCCGAGTCCGCATCCCGCCATCACATGTCTTCCCACAGTCCGACCAGTCCCCGATAAACCACCTACAACAACACAATCACAACATTAGAACATCGACTTAACCACAACTTTAATATAACAACAATAGAACTGCCACTTTAACTGTAACTTTAAGAGAACTGTTCCATTGGAATCATATGGATCAGATCAGTATTCATATGGCCGACAGTATTATGCAGTATCAGAAATTGGATAATATGCTTCAATTGTATATTCTGGTGTAAATAACAGTTTTCTTGTGCACTGCCACTACTTATTCCCTTTAAGGGCAACACATTTCTCTAACTACACAACATGTTGTCAGAACACAGCCAACACAGACATCCAGCGACTGGGAGACATTACATTCCTGATCCATCTTACGTCATCCACAGGAATGTACAGAGAATGAACATTGTCTCCCAACATCTGGGTTGCCTTCCATTCCCCCCGCCCATGCCATGCTGGGTATTCTAAAACAATCATGTTTACACGCTCATGTTGATACACTACTCTCCCTGACTGTGGACACTATGTTTGCGTTCCTGATTGAAAAATCACGGCATGTGTTTGTTGCAGTTCACTTAAATACTGCAATGGACAACAAGGGCTGTCTGAGAGTCTGAGAAGAGAGAAAAAGGGAATCCACTAACAAGCTGAATACACACATAGATAGTGTTTGTTCCAATGTCAACCTGGCCCTTAATTGAGTGAGCTGATGAGTTCAAAGATAGCTTTCTTGGGCATTAGGTGAAGCCAGGAACGGGCTCCATATCAAAACAAATCAAATCAAATTTTATTTGCCACATGCGCCAAATACAACAGGTGTAGACATTACAGTGAAATGCTTACTTACAAGCCCTTAACCAACAATGCATTACTATTTATTTTTTATTTTATAGAAAATAGAAAAAGTGTTAAGTAAAAAAATTAAAGCAAATAACTAAAGAACAGCAATAAAATAAAATAACAGTAGGGAGGCTATATACAGGGGGGTACCGGTGCAGAGTCAATGTGTGGGGGCACCGGCTAGTCGAGGTAATTGAGGTAATATGCACATAGTGCAAATAGTCCGGGTAGCCATGATTAGCTGTTCTGAAGTCTTATATCGTTTCATTACAGATGCCCATCTAACTGTAACGACTCATTCATATACACCCAAATATACACACACATCACTATTGGCAGACGGCTTCAGCCCATTGGCCAAAAGCATTTAATCCTTTTTTCCAATTGAACATTTGAGACATGATTGAACTCTGTCTGACCATTCCCTCAGCCCTTGCAGAGAGGCTAAGCGCTTTTGGCCACAACACACACACAGACGGACGCACACTCTCAAGGACGCGCATGTGTGCACTCACCACTCGCATACACACAGACGGACACACACACACTCTTGCGTATGTTATCCCTCGAGGGTTCATTGAGTAAACTAGCCAATACAATTAAACACAGGTGGTCATTTTCAGCATTTTCATTTTTTGGCATTAAACAAGCTTCGAAAAGAGTTAACATATGAAGTTATAAATCATTGCCGTTTTATTTTAGCATTTTCTTCAAAACACATTTTACAGCTAAGGGACTCCTTGAAGGCAAATTAATATAGCAAGTCATAATCGTTTTTTTACTAAATAGTTTTACGTTTCTTAACCAGAGCTTATGATAGAACTAAATGCTTGTGTAGTCTTCTGAACCCACTCCACCCACTATCTACTATTAGTTGGTCTCTGGTTGTCAGTCATTGAAAGGTTGTATGTAATAAGTGTTCTGGACCTGAGGTCCAACACTAGTATTAGTATTTCCTCTGAGCCAAGTTAGCATACAGTACACAAATCCAGCATAGTTTAGCAGGGTATCTTTCTGTTCCAAGATGGACATTAGGTTAATAGTGTCTGAGGGTCTTACCTGGGGAGCAGGTACAGTGCGTGACCACTGCATTGTATTGTATTGCATTGCAATGCATTGTATTGTATTGCATTATATTGTATGGTATTGTATTGCATTGTATTGTATTGCAATGTATGGTATTGCATTGCATTGTATTGTATTGTATTGCAATGTATTGTATTGCATTGTATTTTATTGCATTGTATTGTATAGTATGGCATTGTTGGTTGAGAGTGACTGGTGGTCTTACATACTCTGTGGGGGCAGATACTGTACATGACCACTGCATAGTATTGTATTGAACCGTATTGTCCTGTATAGCACTGTATTGTAGATGAAGGTCTTACTGTACGTACTCTGGGGGGCACGGTTCAGTGTTGCAGGACCTCTGGTTCTCTGGAGGTTTGTTGTCTGGGTCACAGTAGCTGTTCTGCACCACCGAGTTATCATCCAGACGCTTACACAACACTTCCTGCTTCTGGGAACCTAACAGAGAAGAGGGAACAAACACACACAACACCCAGTTAATGTCCAGCCTCTTCCTGTATGATGCATCACTTCCTGGGAACCCTGACAGAGAAGGGGAGCAAAACACGCACACAACACCCATTTCACTGATTAACTACTGATTCCTGAAAATGTAAGAAAATACAGTAGCGAAAATCACCTTCTTATTCTCCTGCACATGAAACAGAGTGCAGCAGGCAGCTCCATACAGTGCAGTGTGTCTGTGTTTAGGTGGAGACGTAAAGGATGGTTTCAGTCTGTGGTAAACCAGACGTGTAAATGCCTGGTGCCTAACAGGATATGTTGGCAAACATCCCTTTTACAGAGCAGCGGCTCTTTACTTTGGCTGCTGGCGCAGAGTCTGAGGGCTACCGTATCGCTGTCACCCAACTCTCTCTCTGTGTGTGTGTGCGCGTGTGTGTGCGCGTGTGTACGCACGTGCGTGTACCCTCTCAGAGAGGGTCTGTATGGGGTCTCATGAGACATATCCTAGGACCTAAACCATACTAATCTTGCCCACCAGCCGGCTCTCTCTCTCTGTCGAGACGTTTGGTTTCCAAGCGCCTCAGAACGGGACTTGACTGGAAGTCTGTGGCAGGAGCGGACGAAACAACCGCTGATTTTAATTGGCTGATCTCTCAGTCCATCATCACTACCTAGCATAACCCTTAGAACCTCCTCTCTGGATTTCGAAGTGGGAGCAGCACACTAACCAAGGAAGTGAGTTTGGGAAATCGGAAAGTTCTATGGTCACTGTGATAGAAAATGTATTTTGATTGTCCCATTTAATACAGGTACAAGGTTAACACCATACTGGTCTGACTGGTGTAATGAGATATGCACGTGTGTGTAAGGTGACAGAGAGAGAGTGTGAGTGCCTGCCTGCCTGCTTGCCTGAGTGTCTGCCTGCGAGAATGTGCACATGTGAAGGCATTTGTATAGTGGTATACACACCAATAGTACAGCTGGATTGGTGTTAAAGTATCATGCTTGCAGAGGGTAGTGAAACTGAAGTGGCCAGGATGTCACAATATGTTTTTAAAAGGTTTTATTAGCACAGAGGTGCATTAAATGAAACTTTATGATTAGCAGCGTCAGCTAAATTCAACGGCTATATGATTTAAGGCCCATATCCAAAACGTAAGGATCTGTTATATTGATTTTTATATGTTGTAAAGTGTTGCTTGGTAGAAGTCCCAAAAGCCAAAAGCCAGAATGTCATCTACATTACAATACTAAGGTATTAACATCTATATGATATGATATCTGTAGCTCTTTGCTTTGGTCATGCATAGATCTCCTTTCTCAAAAACTCTATTTTGGGGTCTTTTTCTGTTCTGTGTATGTGTTTTTTTGCTAAAATATTGCAGGCATTTAGTGGCCATGCTTGACAGCTGGAGAGGAACAGTATTTATTTCTTCATAAAAGCCAATTGCTTTTGGGGGTAAAATGAGTTGGTTTAGTCATTCTTGAGGCAGTGGTCGACATTTCGCTGTGGTTTCAGAGTTAGGAGGTTTCAGTATGCAGTAGGACAAGGGTTTTGGAGCGGCAGACCGTTGTATCTCTGGCAAGTCAGACTGTATGCTAGCTAGCCCTGGTTAACCAGAAGATATGCAAAGCAGCTCATTCATAGAAATTACAACATATTCATGTGCCTGGTTTAAATATGGAAAACACATATTAGGTTTTTCTTAAAAGCTGAAATTACATTTAGAAAGCAATAAAGTTATGATCCTACAAACCCATGTGAAATTATCATACTGGGTTACCCCACAGTATTCTCCAGTATTTTGATAAGTATTGGTTGGTCTGGATTGGAAAGACACACACACAAGACACAATGTATCTCATGTTGGAGAAAGCTACTGTTATTGAAAAGAAAACAATAAAAATGGCCACAGTATTTAACCATATTCCATTACCAGATAGCTAGAACAGCACTTTTAAAAAGCCATAGATCTCTGACACCTAGATTCATGCTCCCCACAGTCTCCATATTTACAGTATTGTGTTCCGTAGGGCACAATGTTGAACATAGCCATAACATTTTGCAACAGAAAGCAAAAATTAGCTTATTTATTGGACAGAGAGCATTGGATAACTTCAAGTACCCAGTTTCAAAATGTTTTCTCTTGTTTGGTGCCTAATGAACAGGACCAGGACATAGCCATATATGGGCATGTGGTTGGTGCAGTGCATACCTCCAGCGCAGGTGGCGGAGCAGTCGGACCAGGCCAGATGGTGCCAGGAGAAGCCCACCTCGTTGTCCCCACTTCCTGTTCTCTGGATGGGAACATTGAACTTATAACGGATCCCCATGTTCTGTTCCTGGAGAAGAACCTGGAGGTGAGAGGAAGACACTCTTTGATTATATGCATTTATAGCGTTGGCTTCAGTTCCATATTAAATCATTTTAAGTGCATTTTCCATTCCGACGTCCTGAATTTAAAGAAACTGAAATTAAACAACTGAAATGGAATTGATCCAAACCTTTATCGTACTTTGCTTTATGTTTTTTTGTGTTTTTAGTTCAATGTCCGCTCAGCCCACTTGCCCATACACTCTATGGGCAAAAGTTTTCAGACCCCTTGACTTTTTCCACATTTTGTTACGTTACAGCCTTATTCTAAAATTGATTACATTGTT